TGGGTACAGGCGAAATTGGTAGAGCGTAAAGAAAGTTCGAACCAAACAAGGCGGATAGCGAAACAAGAAGTGAGTCTGATACAGTTAGACAAATACAGTAAAACAATCTCTAGTAGAATTGGTTACAATAATGCCAATGGGTACAGGCGAAATTTGTAGAGCGTAAAGAAAGTTCGAACCAAACAAGGCGGATAGCGAAACAGGAAGTGAGTCTGATACAGTTAAACAAATACAGTAAAACAATCTCTAGTAGAATTGGTTACAATAATAATAATAATTGTTTCTGTTATTCCAATCGTGTTCTTATAGAGACTGGACGGTCACTACATATTCTTGAATAAAAATATGAAGGGCTGTAAGCGAATTATTGACAAAGTCAGAATGTGTTTGGGCACTAACTAAAAAATAATGGATTAATCCGTCTGTTCATAAATTAGAATAGCCAGCGTAGGCATGAAATAGTACTAAATGTTGCAAGTCGTGTGCTGGATCGTGGATTTACGCCCGTTACAACAGCTCTTGAATGTGCAAATTTTAGTGAAGAATGGGTACATTGTAGCAGCGCATGCCCTGGTTATTTTTGTACAGCCTTCTGGATGTCTAATCTGATAAATGTGATTCAGGTATCGATGTGACCAAAAAAACTATAGATTTCAACAGCTTTATCTTGTTGTTTGAAATCTTTCAGGATGTACTCCCGGATGACTGATCTTAGATACACAAGCCAAATAGGACATTTTAATGCCATTATCTTCGTCCAGTATATGATGCGTTATTATTAGGTAACCTCAGTATACTGCAAGGTAGCAATTATAAGTAATATTGCGATGGCAATATCAGCCTACATGTAAAACAAATCAGCAGGTCAGATGCTTGCGGGCACAAAGAACACATTCTTGCTTAAAATGCTTTCCTTTATTGCAAATATAGGTCACTTTTGCCTCCAAAAAGAAACCTCAATGTATAAGACGCGTATAGATGGAAGAACAGTTGTAGGTTAGTGTTAACGGCAGTTCTGAAGTCATGAAGAATATGTCAAGTTCCATCTTAAAGAATTCTAAGGAACTAACTGGCAGGGAACTTCATGACACAACTGTGCATAAAAGGTTGTAGTTGTTTCTACAGTATTATCACTTATATTCCCATAGAACTTCTGAGTGGTACCTTTCGAGCTTGTGTTATAATGAACTGAAATAAGTGTCCCAGAAGATGTTCAAAATTAGTTAGGATGCTCTTGGTAGTTGGAAGTTCGTCTCCAAGCCGTCTATATTCTAAGTGTATAAATATCCAGTAATTTTCAGCACGACCCGAAAGGTTCTCCGACTCACCTCCAAAAACATTCCAGTGAATTCACATCCTTCAAAATAGATTTAGAAACAGTATGTTCCCAAGTGAAATCTTTTAAAACTAGTAATATAATCAAGATGAGTAAAACTGTTTCCTCAAGCTATTGGTGCAAGGTTGGCTCCATTGGAGTGTTCGTCATTGAAAACACCTGATATTAGGCCGTGGAGATCACGACGTCTAATCTTCGTCAAAAAGATGACACTTCTGAAAGATAACTATTCAGATTATTATTATTATTCACAAACATCTTATGAGTATATAAGTGCTGTTTGTAGAGATTTGAAGACTGATCACTGAGAAAATATTGCTACCCCATGTACCCTTTCCTAAACTTTGCATAACAAATACTTCTCAAACAGCTAATTGCTTACGTACGTACTTATAGCCCTAGTGATTGGTAATTGTGCTTTTGAACCTTAAAACAAAATTCGCTTAACCATGAGTCAATAATACGGGATCACGAACCGATCATCCCAAGATCGTTCTGATAGCATATGACTCATATACATCACTAAATCTTTCTTTCACCACTCTACGTAATTCCGCAACATTGTACTCATCTAATAGCTTCGTTTTCTTATTTTGCAGCTCAGAAACAGGTAAATTAGATAAATGACACATCTTCATAAACGAACTTCAATCTGTTCTCGCCTCATCTGTTAATCTGAATTTGCTAATTGGGTAGGCCGTTTTAACTCAAATCAAAGCGCCACTGCTCGACGAATTTACTACTTGTGTACACAATCAACGTCTTGCCAAATCTAGTGTTAACTGAGATACTCCTCATTTTAGCTTTAAAATGCAGTCTCTTCGCTAGGCTAGAGTTAATAAACGTCAAATCACAGCTACTTTCTTATGTGGCTCATTGTCCATGTATCCTAAAACTTAAATAAACACTGTCTACCTTCGACACTGTGTTGGCTAAATTTACATTAAATTCGGGTGTGCGCGGTATTTCACGGAACGAAAATCTTATCGTCCTTACCATTTCAGTCCACTTAAGTTTCTTTGTCCAACATTTACGATTCAAGGTTGTTCTCACAAAATAAACATTGTTTCACTTTTTTCATTAATTCTACTTTGCAACAGTTTGATATATCAGAAAAAACTTATTCTCCACTCTCTTCTTACACTCTAGAGCAAACCTTTACGCATTTACACCGAAGATGGTCCGCAAACCTCATAATTAACATCCACAACACTAACTTCAGATCTACCTCACGTCCTAAACTTACAAACACCATTTTGATACCAAGTAACAAAAATTCATCTAGAAATTGTTCAACTCTTCGGTATCATCTTTCATATGTTGTCTGCTTTCTTTTGCCGATCAAAAAGCAGTTCGGAAGATCAGATGTGGTCTTCCAAACCATTCAGCGTGGACCCTTCTATTCCACTCGCAGCAAGGTGAGGAAAGCGCAAAGAATTGCACCACCTAATGACGCTTGATGTGGTTGCTCTACATTGACGAGATAAACACGTAGGCTTTGTTCCTTCCTTTAAGTCCTTGGTGGACAACATAACATCTGTCTTTCTTACAAAACTGTGTTGCTCCGCAGAGCTCCCACCGAGACACATAGGAACGTAATCTGAAGGCCTAAATGACACTCTACACCCAAAACCAACTGGTTTCTTGTATCGTACTTTACAACCAAAGTGTCGAACGCACCACAACTAAGAGCATCAACATCAGCTTCACTGTTCCTACTAAGAGCCAAACGTCTGCGTTTCTTTACAGAACCGGGCGTACCTAAGAGTACCAGTTAACGGTATCCAACCGTATCGAGCAAACTAGAAACCATTCATCTAGCGCAGGACAAGAAGGAAGGAACATTTCTTGTCCGATAAATAGAACGACAAACAGTTTTTAGATACTATCAGTTATGCACTTGAAACTATTGATATAGATGACGATGAGTAACAAAACTAGATAATGACAGTTTGTCTAACCTCGACATAAACAGACCATGTCAAGGAGAGTTATAACTGGAATCAAATGAATTAACACAACAACGGAACCAAATTGGATCCCTTATACATGGAACCACAGTTGATAAAACGACCTAAGTAGGGTAGCCTTTTTACAAGAAGGGGCTACACTTGGCTTAGGCCTCACGATTTTTACATATATACCAAAGACGGAAAACAACAATAAGTCAAAAGCATTCAGACCCATAACGCTGACTGTTGTTCTCATAATTAGAGAATCATGTTCCTGTAAATCGCCCAACTTCACAAAATACAAAGTAACATTATTTCAGTTTCGCCTTCCGTGGTGAAAAAGGAACGGTCAATTAGAGGCAGAACGTTTGAAGTTTCCGTTACGATTACACGGTATCTTGTATAAAGTGTTTATATATCGTCGAATCATAATGTATAACTCATTAATAACATTAGAATTAACCGTTCAAGTATTATGGATCGACTGTTTTTCCAGGATTTTTCTGGATCTGCCCAACAAGATCCTTCGGAAGTTCCTTCTGTTTCACTGACATAAACATATCACTGCCAGTGATGAGGAAGTTATATCACTCAAGGCTACTGCAACTCAAGAATGGTAGTTTCTTTCGAACAAGGCGAGGAAATGAAAGTATACATCATTAACAATATTTATAACAGTCAAATTTAAAAAATTATATATCATTGTGCTACTGCCGAGTATGTATACAATTATAAATTTGTTGTAAACATTTACACACTTGAGTCGCATTTCCAGTATAATAGTGTCATTTGTGTTCATGGAGTTCATAAATGGAAAATGAACAAGGCTGATCTAATATGTTTAGCATTGTAGTTATTTTACTACCTTTGACATGTTTAATAAACCAGAAAACCATGACCCAAGCACGATATATTTACAGACAGTAGTAATAATTTAATTTAGATATTGAATATGATAAGTAATGAATAATACAATCAATATATATATAGCTAAATGTTATATATATATATATATATATATATATATATATATATATATCAAACAAACGAAAAAAAGTGGAATATTTTATTAGGATTATAAAAATGATCAAATTTTTTGCCACTAGATATCTAATAACTTCTGTTTTCAAAGATTCAAACAAGTCTTTACTGAAGGTTCTATTATGTTTCTTGGGTTTATTCAGCATTGTTGCGAAGTGATTATATTCATTCATAAAATCTTAATTCCTTTGTACTTTTACCTTTGTCAATGTATTAGGTTTTTCTTATACATTTTATAGAGGACTGTTAATTTTCAGAAGTAGGTTTTAAATGCAAACCGTAAAAATTGAGGAAAAGTTTAAATACATCTTAACAGTGAATGACTATTTTAAATGTTTAAATTTGTGTTCATCACTAAAGTATAAAGTGATTACTTCATTATCAGAAGTTCTAGTGAGAAGCAGTAACCAGTGGAGTTCAACCAGGTCTGTTGGGAGATATCAACTCACTGATGACAATTGGTGAATGGTTGCTCAATTTCGTGGATCAGTTGAAAATAAACATTAACGCCGTTGGATACTGGCTCAGTGGTCTGTCGGTTAAGTGCTCTGGCGCGAGACTAGTAGGTCCTGGGTTCGAATCTCGCGAGTGCGGGATCATGGATACGCACTGCTGAGGAGTCCCATAATAGGACGAAACGGCCGTCCAGTGCTTCCAGGTTTTCTTTGGTGGTCTAGCTTCTATTGACTCATGATCTCAACTCTATAAGATTATTTCATCATTAAATTTATAAACTCTACAGTATTGTATCACTTAATCTTCATTTTCGACTCACTTAATAGTTTTAAAGAGGTTAGTAACCAAACTAAAGACTGTTTACTATTATACACCAGTTTCTTTGTATTATTTTAATTTTTCAAAAATTGTAAAATATGATTACAGAATGATACGAAATGTATTTGCGTAAAAACCTATTTCTACTGTATGCTATTAATGTAACAGGCCTGTTTTGAAGAATGTTTTGTTAAACGGCTGAATCTCGAGAATTTTCGTAATTCAATTTACAAATAGTTTCTAATATTAGTATCGTTATTGAAAAACAAATCAAAGATAACCAAGCATTTGATTAATTCTTATTTTGATCTACTCGTTGGCTGACAGATATAACCTAAAAACAAGGGGGAAACCACAATATTCAAGTCAAGCAACTTAAATTATACCATCAGAACAGATTAGGTAGAATTCAATAGCTCACATTTTCGACTTCATAAAATGTTGCCATCAAATAAGCCATGAATTGAGAAATTGACAGATACATAGCGTTATCCATATGAAAATACAAAAGTACACTATAAATCAACTATGAGCAGTAGCTAATCTCAGTCTCCAAACCATCATTGATCTTGAGTTTCATTATATGCAATAAATTCAGAAATCATTTCATTATACACATGAGCAGAACAAGATAGACAATAGCACTGAGAAAGAAATGAAGTATTTATGTAAAGGAAATCAAATATGAATGATCGGTCGTACAGTGTTCTGACAAAATTATTCTAAATATTGTGAGCCAGTAACTCAGACTCATTTAGTATATCTTCAGTGTATATGGTCCTGTGAACAATAGAGCTGTGAGTAAAAGCTCACATTAAAATTTGGACTGAGTTGATTAGTTCTCATTTCTGCGAGAACCTTTTCCATGATATAATTCTCTGTACAGTCATAAGCGATCGGTTCAAAGTTTTCACTAAATTTGTTGGCGAAAAGTTCCATTCGTTTTGGAATACTCGGAAGAATGGAAATACCGATAAGACATATACCATTTCTAATTTTTCCACGTTTACAAGATCTATTGGCCCACTTTACATAACGTCCTATGTACGCCACTCGCATATCTAAGTCAGATGTAAGATATGTTTCGTTGCAAGCACCAGGAGCTCCAAGTAATGGATTGTAATTCAATGTAGAGAAAAATAATTCATCTGGATGCTTCGATAAATTTTTTTCTGCTTTTAATACACCAAGTATTTCATTTGCTTTTGGGTCATTCTGATAGAAATGAACAAAATCACGCCTTAACGCCATGTAAAAGCTTCCTTTACTCCAAATGATCTGAAAATTATTAGATATATTAATGAAACCTGATGAATAACTTCATTTATTAAGAAACAAGTAAACTGAAGCAAAGAAACCCTAATGTTACATCTTATCCCTCCAATTAGAGAAGGACACTAAAGTGTGAATATCACCCACAGATAAAGATCTGACAATTTCTCCTTACCGTTATAAATAGTTTTCGTTATTCGACAGAAGATACATTGAAAAAATTTGATATTACAATTAACATTTTAGTGAACATTAATTACTCATTAATATTTAACTGAATCACTAAAGATCTAAATCAGCTTGACAATGTTAACATAGAAAATTCTAACTATTGACTATTGATTCACGTAGTGGAGAGAATGAAAAATACTAATAACTGTAATCAAATGTAATTGTCTCTCTTATCTTTATTCACAAATGTTGATATTATTATTATTAATATTAATAATAATATTATTATTGTAAGCAAAGATGGATAGTGGCTAGAAGTGGAATCCAGGACGCGCATTTCGTCCTATTTGGGACTCATCAAATGGATGTAGCTGCATCTCAGAGTTGATGTTCTCTCTGGTACTCGAACCCAGTACCTTTCGTTTCAAACTCCAACTCCGACACTGAGTCCTGATAGCCACTTGCTTGTGCATTGGGGTGAAGTTGAAATTCACTTAGTATTGTTTGTTTGAATCCTCCCATTGATGTTTAGGACTGCATCCATCTTTGCTTACAATGCTTGTGAATTTAGGCTATATCGAGGCAATACGCACAGTATGCACATATGCCAATTAGAGACCGACCAGTTACAGTCCTGAACATCAATGGGAAGATTCAAACAAACAATACTAAGTGAATTACTATTATTAGCTAAACATTATTATTAATCTCCCCTAGACTTGATTCATTCACTTCGCATTGATCCCTCCTTATTACGTCTTACTAATTTTTCACACAATTTAGTCTTCCACTTGATCGAATTATAATTGCACTATTATATCTCTCTCACCCTATTTGACCCATATTTATTCTGATCACAGATCTTAAATTTTCACTTAACATATATACAGATTCACATTAACATTCTATATGAGTCATATCAACATTAATAATTTTATTCTATGAATTGTGAATTAAGGTATATCGAGGCGATACGCACAGTATGCACATATGCCAATTAGAGACTGACCAGTTGCAGTCCTAACAAATCGATGGGAAGATTCAAACAAACAATACTAAGTTGAATTTATTCCATTTGGTTCGACAGTCCTAAATTTATATGCTTTAAACGATGTACTTTGCCTTTAACCTGGCCATTTTTTTCGGATTATTAATTTGGATAAATATGATTGTAGAACCTGAAGAGAGAATTTATCGAAAAGTATATTCTTCGTTCAAATATTAGTCTTTTAATATGATGGGGATCTTTAAACGACTAATAACTGTGTTAGCATTATCATCATATTATCTACACATCTATTTATCATCTGGTAGATTGAAGTATGCTGTTGCTGGCAATGAAACACTGATTTAATATTATGTGTTAACCGTCTTACAATTTATTAAGATATGTCCAAGCAGTGACCAGTGGAGTTCAACCACGTCTGATGTGACATAACAACTCACTGAAGACAATTGGTGAACAGTTGCTCAAACTTCGTGGATTGGTTGAAGTTAGACATTAACACCGTTGGATACCGGCCGGCCTATCGGTCTATCGGTTAAGTGCTCGCGCGCGCGACTGGTAGGTCCTGAGTTCGAATCTCGCGAAGCGGGATCGTAGATGCGCGCTGTTGAGGAGCCCCACAATAGGACGAAACGGCCGTCCAGTGCTTCCAGGTTTTATTTGGTGGTCTAGCTTCAATTGACTCATGATTTCAATTATGAAAATAATGAAATCTTCACAAGACCCCTTCTCAAAGTAAATTTCTTCAAACATGATTATCAATGCAGGGAGATGAAATCCTCTTTCTGCTTTATATATAGTAATAAATAAAATTAACAGATATTTTATATAGATAACACTATTTAATGGAATTTGTTATTTGAAAAAGAAAAACTAATTACGCAATTAAACCAAGCATTAGATTTTTAATTATAACATGTTAACTCACTCTATTACCAGTATAATCTCATTTAAGGCAAAATTTCGAATATTGGTTCACTTTTCAAACGTTTACATTGGTCTTAGTTTATATATAATTTTTGAGTTACTTAATAGGCTTTACATGATATAAACTGGTCACTGTTTAGTCCTAGTGAACTAATTTCGAACCCCATCATTTATCTTTGACTACTTTATGTTCTTACAAAACGTTTCCGTTAAAAAGTTTGGAAAAATCTACTAATGTTTGAATACTGTGATTTATTTAACTCAATAAATGCCACTACAAAACATTTCATCCGATTTCATTTTAATTTGCTTATCCGAAGCGATAAATTGGTCTCTTACAGTAAATTCCATTGGAATTACAGTGTCACGAGTAATCATGACTAAGCAATTTATAAATATTATAAATATTATAATAAATCATGATGTACATGGCAAAAACAACAAAATCTACCGGGAACGTTAGATTCTTGATTGGCCAACGTTCTGGATTATGCTTAGGTCCCAAATTTTCAACTATATTTGACCCATTCATTGCTTTCAATAAGGTAACCAATTCCCAATTGGTGCGAAGTGGTAATTCTTGACCACTCACATTCAAAATATATTTCCAAATAATCTCAGTGTTGTTTATCAACTTCTCTGCACATAGAAGAAACACTTCCAGTACGGAATAATATCCCCACTTAACATTCACACTTTCCGATCGATTCACTACCATCACATTTGAACCGAAACACCTAGCCAACTCCATCACTTCATCATAAAAAACTCGTGGTGATTTAGAATCCACATGAATACAATACAAATTATGTGGTCTGTAAATCAAGCGAAGGAGACGAGCTGCCTGTTTAATATTCCTATGAATAGCCAAACTGAATGCCAGAGGGAATTGTTTTTCTTCCACTGTCGACTGTACAACTTCACCACGAAATAACTTGAATTCATTACATGTATGAGAGTTGGTCAAATTCGAATAGCCCCCATTTGATGATGATTGAATATTTCTCACCAACATATACTCTATCCAACTCAAATTCTTTACGAATAAGTATTGACATATGCGGTTATTTACTAGAAGGAATTCGTTCAATATATATTCGTAATAAGCTACATATGATATGTAATATGTAACTGTAAGCGATGTGATGAGTAATGAAATGAAACCGATCCAAACTAGTTTACGTTTCAGATTGTTTGTACGATAGTTTGCAATTTTTCTAAAGCGTACTTTATTTGTAAGTGAATTGTTTAATGACCAGTATTCCATGTTGGTTTTAAGGTGGTTAGGCTGGTTCCCTGTGTGGTCGATTACATTAACTGATTGATAAAATGAGTTTATAATTTAACTATGAATGTTGAAGAAATCCAAATGAATTGAATCACTTTATCATTATTTTTAAATTCATAAATTACAGTTTAAGCTTTTACACTTTAAATATGTTTACATTTACCATTTAAATCATGCTTTTAAGCTAATGAAAATGTGCTCTAACACTAAGTTTACTGACATCACGTTGCTCTTCGTTTCAAAGTTCTTTTTTTTTAAATCAATAATACATTCTTCTATATGCAATAGACTTGGTAAAGTTTTGAAAATAATAAAAAATTGAAGTCGATTATGTTTAATATTGCTTGTTGTTTGCTCATATTAATAACTACACGACAAGTAAGGGTGTATTTGAACAGATTATACTTGTATCAATTTCATTTTTAAGACTTTGGATGAATAACGTGACAATCTATCTAATTGTAATACAATCTTATACGAATTTTGAAAATGTAATTTTTAAAAGAATTGGTGAAAGTCTGTTATTACTATTCTCTTAGCAAGTTATTACGTAACAAAATCTGAAAACACTTTCATAACAGAGTTGTTTTTTAAAAGAAATCAATTGATCGGTTTATTTATTTACACAAAATTACTCATGACAAATTCATTATGCTGATTTTTAAACATTTCTGTATGACACTCATCATCACACAAATCCTGATACTATAACTTATGTAATATCGGTAATTGTATTTCAGAAGGCGTTTTGTGAAGATTTCAGTATTTTCATAGTCGGTTAAGTGCTCTGACACGAGACTGGTAGGTCCTGGGTTCGAATCTCGCTCGCGAGGCGAGATCATGGATGCGCACTGCTGAGGAGTCCCACAATAGGACGAAACGACCGTCCAGTGCTTCCAGGTTTTCTTTGGTGGTCGAGCTTCAATTGAGTTATAACTTCAATTATATTTCAAATACATTAAATTTATTTAACTACATGGTCATACGATGCATATGTAAGTGTAAGGGACTTACATGAATTACATACACTGTAAAGCCTAAAACAAATAAAAGTATATAAATACGTAGGTATCAAAGTTTTTAGTAAAAATTGCACTCGGTTGAACAACAGAAAGAAACTGTATCATTTTTAACAAATAAACTTTAGTGTGAATATTTACATTTTCTTTTGAAATAGCTGATTAACTGTTATACGGAAGGTTTAGGGAGTTCAACGTAAAGTGAACTAAATATATGTGTAAGTAAAATACTGTCTAAATAAATGTATTTTTTCCAGTTCATAAAAAGCAAATTTTCAGTGAAACGTTCGGCTAGTCGTTTAACTAATAGGTCCTAAATGAATTGATCTGTACAAAAGCTAGAACAACTCATTTGGGCTTGACATAATACTATCAACCACAACTCTATATTACAGTACGCCCTTGATTAATTTTCTTGCATTGACAACGAGTATTGTCTTCACTTTGTGTATAAAACAATCACGAAAGACATTAGCTAAGATTTGCTTGAATTTGCATAGCGTATGTGATTACAAACAAAAAGCCCGTTTATACGGTTAAAAGACTGAACATTGTCCAGTAAGAACCAACTTACATAGACATAGCAATTTTTGTATTGTTTTATCATGCATTTGTGGTTTTAATGAAAGGGTTAGGAAGTAGACCTATTTACCTGTACTTAAAAGGCATTTAAACCTAAACTGCTGATATAGGGATAATGAGAATCACATTTTATACATCTAATATTCATGTCATATATGCGTTCCATAACTTTTAGGCTCATAATATAGTGTTTGTCATGCCTAATGCTGCACCTATCAGAAAAAAATGTGATGGTTGAGGATGCTTTAAAAATATGGTTTTTATGTTAGGTTTCGCATTATGCCATGAAGGATTATATTCTATTGAGGTAGTTTAGATATTCCCTTAAACTAAGACCACTGTAACACCTAATGCTTGACTTGATATTCTTTTTCGAACAATTCGATGCATAGAAGTAGATGTTTCTGAGAATAATGCAAGTTTCTTTAACAAACTGTATAACACCTTTATTACTCAACTTTAAAAATCCAGAAGCTCAATATCACACAAATAAGGTTGCCCTTGAAGCATACCAGTACACCTAATGATTTTTATTGAAAGGCCTTTCAATCATACTTTTAGCTCTGCGGAGCTGAAATGATCACAAAACAAAGGTGGTAAGAGTAAAATGTGAACAGGGAAACATCCCAACCTTCAGCGGGGCAGTCTAGTGCAGGAAACTGAGATTAATCACAACACTAAAATGACACGACATCATGAAAAACCAACTTTTAGGGCAATGAATTTACTCCTAGACATTGGGAGAATAAAAATCTACGAGACAGTCAACTTACTATATTCGTTCATGATGAAGAAAGATGGAGTATTTAATCCAGAACACATAAATGTTGTATAAAGGAGCAAATTTATGTCATTTCAAATGATAGCAACTCCTACTAAATTTCAAGCTAAATGAAGCAAAACACGGCATCTATATTGACTTACAATGATGTCGGAAATGAAGCCATTAACGTACGGGTCTGATTGTTTGCCAAGGTGAATGGCGGAAACATGTAATATGCCCTAACCTGAAATAAACTGTATCTCACTCTGTGGACATGTCTAATTCAAATGTGCATAATAAATAGATGGTTGAATTATTCACATTAACTCTGATGCTATCATCAATAATAATTTGGTTTCAGTGGAAACTATAATAAGAATCCATGATTTCAGTAGAGTAGTAACAACTACTGATCTAACAATAATAACGGAATAAACATTCTCTGTGGTAGTTTCAGAAAACTGTCTGAGAAAATGTTAACTTAACACCAAATATTTTCCACAAAATTGTCAAAAAGTCACCTGTTTAATTTTTTTCAAATTTCAAAGCTGATACAGTCATCTGTAATGTAAACTGAATCTAATTCTTACATTGAAATCATCACTGCCCATAATCATCTACCCAATTCTTGCATTACAATATGGCAATAAATTGAGAATCAGTTTAAAAATATTTCTCCATTACACAAAAATGATTTCATACATCAGGTGTTATTCAAGAAAGTACAATTCAATATGACAATGTGAATCATCATTCAAATTTATTTTTCATCGAATAGTGTACTTTCAAAAATTCCTATATCTAACACGATGTACTTGTTGAAATTTCATAATGTATAAGTTCACTATATGATTAATATCAGTTTAAAAAATTGCTTATTGAATTAAATAGGCTCAGTGGTCTATCAGTTAAGTCCTCGCGCGCGAGACTGATAGGTCCTGGGTTCGAATCTCACGAGACGGAATCGTGGATGCGCACTGCTGAGGAGTCCCACAATAGGACGAAACGGCCGTCCAGTGATTCCAGGTTTTCGATGGTGGTCTAGCTTCAATTGACTCATGATTTCAACTGTGAAAATACTAAATTCTCCACAAAACCCCTTCTAGACTATATTTGTTGTGTTCAAGTCTATTATATCAACATTAACACTAACAATTACGTCAAGTTCTTCACTAGTCTTTTAGTTAATTTGATCTTATTGGGTTGATGTAATGTGACAGTTTGTTAATATATATTTCTCAGGTTTTAAAATAATCCAAACTGGCTGGAAAATGCTTGTTGATTTGTAAAAAAGAAATTACAAGACTTTACGATTTGTATATTACTCAATAATGACTATAAAGTGTATCTCTATCAATTAAAACAAACAAAAGTATAGGTTTCTCTTTTGAAGTATTTATTTGTTTGTACAGAAAAGTACTTTTTTATCTTTTACGCCAGGAAATAGAAGCAGATATGAAAAAGATGAATAGCAACTGGAATGGACTGGAGAGGATTGCCCAGGAACGAGTTGGGTGGCGAAAGCTAGTGGGCGGCCTATGTTCCTCCATGAGGGATAACAGGCGTAAGTAAGTAAGTAACTTTCTTGTTTTCTCTTTGTACAAATTATTTACATAAAATTGATCGACAAATATGATGTGAAAACAAAATCAAACAAACAAATGAAAAATTAAAGATTAACTAATTTCATTAGCAAACAAACGTTTAACTAAATTCACTTGGATAACACAGATTCAATACATTTCAAATTACTTAAAAGAATTATAAAACAATGTATAAAATTTAAATTCACTTGATGTTGTTTGCTTCTTATTGTTGTTTAAGACTGCAATGGATCAGTCTCTTGTCGGTATATGTGCATCTTGTACGATTGCCTCGATATTGCCTTGATTCACAAACTTTAATAGCAAAGATAGATAGTGGCTAGCATGAGGCAATTAGCACAGGATGCATATATGCCAACAAGAAACTGGTCGATTGCATCCCTAAACAACAATGGGAAGATACAAGCAAACAACACTAAGTGAATTTAAACTTCACCTAATTACACGAGCAGGCAATTAACAGAACTCGATGGCCATGTGCATAACGCAATGGTGTTTGAATTGAACGGTACTGCGTTCGAGTCCCTCAGTGGATATCAACTCTGAGATGCAGGCACATCCAGCTGACGAGTCCCAAATAGGATGAAACGCACGTCCTGGATCCCATTAATAGCTACCATCCATCGTTGAATATATAAGATCTATTGAAATCTTTATTTATCATACTATTTTATATTCTTTATTTAGTCCTAGTTAGTAAGTGGACATTCTAAAGGTCGCTTTAGTGTAGCTCAAAAGTCTTTCATAAATTATATTCACATCATAATATGATTATGTAAATAATTACAATGTAACTAGCTTTTTAGTTTACTTTTTTTGTTTATGCTGTACATTGGTCTTTAAACAGAATAACTTAATAAACTGTTTAAATTTCACATTAATTGTATAGAATATATATTTAAAACATTATAATTAATTAAATTCACTTGGTGTTGTTTCTTTGAATCTTCCCATTGATATGTTAGGACTGCAATTGGTCAGTCTCTTATTGACATATGTGCATACTGTAAGTATCGCATCGATATAGCCTTAATTCACAAGCATTATAAGCATAGATGGATAGTGACGTCCTGGATCTCACTGCTAGCCACTATTCATTTTGCTTATTATAATTATTTTTTATGAATATATTCATTGAGATTTTAACAAATGTTTGATTAGAAATTAGGCACTGATTGCCTTTTATTGTTTTTTTCTTATCACTACCTTAGAGAAAGAAAGTATATCAAATAAAAAGTTGGAATTATTTTGAGTTAAAATATTTGTGATTATGTAGTACCGTGCTACATTAATCGTTGATCTCGATAACCGTTATAATAAAAATCTTATTGGTACATAATATCAGAAGGCAAAGAGAAGCGGCAACTCTAGTTTTATTGACTTATGACGCAGGCCAGAAAGTTATAAGCACATGAGCAAATATCAGCAAGCGAAACAAAAACGACACGCATTGGAGATGGCAGGTAAGTCAACTCACTTTAATCAAGCGTTAGTCAATATTTATAGTCAGACAAGAATAAATGACAGACATGTGATAAACAGGATAAGAAGTGTACTCACACCTACGCTCATATAAAAAATGGTCAGGGTTAATAAGTGAATAATTAACAAGGTGAAAACACGACTCATGATGGATAGGTGAATTGGTTTGTCCGGAAGCGAAAATAAAGTATATGAGCTTAACATACCAACCGAAACTACAATTCAATTAACTGTAATTTTAATTAATAAATAATTAGCTATTTAACATCATATCAAAGTAATAGTGTTATGAATTTAATCAAGATAAAAAAAGGCCGTATGCCAGTTTGTTATGATTTTATGTCCGGCTTTTATTACGTGATTTGTTCAGCGATGGAAATACAACTTTTCCAATCTTAACACTGTGCTAAATTAATGATGTTCGACTAGTGTGAGTAGTCTAGCGTCCTTATTGGTCCCTTGTCCGCCTAGCTCTTCCAATTGAGTCCAAAACACCAATTGCAGCTTCTGTCATGCGAATCATTTATTTCAAGCATACTCGGTTTCTATACCAGACAGACAGACCACATAACACCATAAAATAGCAAATCATATTTATACAAGATCGAGCTAAATATGGCTGTGAACGTGGAATACAGTAATCAATAAACTGAATATAATTTAGGGATAGTAATTCATATAACAATAATCCATAGGTCAAAATGAAGCTTATAACAAGGTGAATATAGATATACACAACCTAATTACTCAATAGTTATACAATAAGAATATATATAGAATAATCGTTCATTAATAGATCCCGGAAGTTATCCGTACCCATGTCTTCGCTAGGATATAACAAATAGATTTAAGAAATTTTTATTGTCTGGTTCATATAATTACTTCATTTTTTGTTTTAATAAGTAGTAAATTACCCTTCTATTATGAGTATTTTTCTTCTCGAATGGATATTGAACAGTTTTCTTTTCTTTTAAAATTTTCAGTAATTATGTTGTTGAAGATACTACCAATATTGCAGTTTGACAACTCTTTACCAGTAACACCTGCTATAATCGAATCGCACCCACCCAGTTAAAATCAGAAGTCAGAAGCGAAGAGGTTGGAAGATATATTTGATGAGTTATCAATATATGGAGAAATGATTGATCTAATCTGGCTAATGATCGTAGGAGATGTTTCGCACGCCGTTCTGTAACGTGATCTGGTACGGATGCATGACCAAGCGCCTTCAGCTAAACGAGCCCACTAAAAAATCGTGGTCAGAATCCAATGTCGAACACTTACAGAACTATTGATTTTGAGAAATTATTTACAGCTACACTGTTTTGTAATTATTTTAATTAACGTAAACCGTTATTTTGTTTATAGCTTCATTAAATTAAAATTGTAGGTACAAATTTGAAAGATAAGATACTTCTTTAACCTAATACTAATACTGTGGTGTTGTCTACTTATATCTATATAAGTAGTATATGGTGTGGGTCAGACATAGAATGTATTTTCGCAGAAGACCGATGAGGAAAGAACTGAAATGAAGCGCAATCGTCTGGAAAATGCATGAGCAATGGAATAAGAAAAGAAACAGTGAAGATTGAAACAACTGGTTGTTAATTTGCAAATTGACTGTTCATTGTTTGATTATCGGAAATTACTGAGATAGTCTGTAACTTTTGCTTAAATACATTCGATTGTCCTCAACCAGTGTTCTGTTCACTACAATACCAGCACACTTTATACAAAAATGAGACATAATCATAATGAGAATCGTTAAAAGTTGAGTGAAGAAATGTTTTATTTTAATTTGTTCATTCTAATGGCTTCACACTGATCTGGTAAAAAATCAATATTAAATAAATAGTAAAGAATCAATCTATCAATATATTCCAATATTATTAGTTTAAAAAATACAAAAACTAAAGCCAAAACAACATTACATAATAGTTTACTTGTTACATGTGATTACTTAAGAATAAGAATAATAGTTGAGTAAGACTGAAATTGAAATATGAACATTTTGGTGTTATTTTTAGAAATAATAATCAGTGATTAGTAAAGACAGATGTAATTAAAGATTAGATTACTAAATTATTTAAATAGATTAGGTTAAAAATAAGATGGGTAATAAATATTTGAAGAAACAAACATTACCGAGAAACGTGAGAGTAATTAAATAGTCAAACTCTAATATAATGTTGAGGAGTCCTATATTAAGACGTAACAACCATCCAGTGCCTCCAGGTTTTCCATAATGGTCTAGCTTAAATTGACTAATGAATTCAACTATTAAATTACTAAAATCTTCACAAAACCCCCTTCTGATAACAATCATCATGTTTTCATTAGTGACTGGCTTCAAGAGGTATTTCCTGGAGTTCTAATGAGAAGCCGTGACCAGTGGAGTTTAACCGTGTCTGTTGTGAGATAGTAATTCACAGAAGACAATAGTGGACAGTCACGCAATTTCTTGGATTGATTGAAGTTAGATATTAACTTCGTCGGATATCAATCAGCTCAGTGGTCTAGAGGTTAAGCGTCTGCTCGCGAGACCAAAGGTCCTGGGTTCGAATCCCGCTTGCAAGATCGTGAATGAGCAGTGCTGAGGAATCCCATATTAGGAATTAACAACCGTCCAGTGCCTCCAGGTTTTTCATAATGGTCTAGCTCTAATTGATTCATCAATTCAACTATTAAATTACTAAAATCTCTGTAAAACCCCCCTTTCTGATAATTTTGAATTATAAATAAAATATGGAACATATTATTAACAAATGTATTATATACAAACTGTAAACACAATGAAATTTATAATTTAAAAATAATAGATGTATCGGAAAAATAGTCTAACAAAATGTCTAGAATATTCCCGAGTCTAATAATGAAATTACCATAAACTATCTGTATTATTCGATTATCATGTTCAAAAGATTTGATCAAAGAAAGGGATTGTTATTCATACAATAAACATTTCATTGAATAGAGAAATTTATTTCAAACACCAGAAGCTAACATCAATAATAGATAGTCTTTTAAGATTTCCATTTTACAAGTAGTATATTCCTACAAGAAAAATCTGGAACAATAACTTGATATAAATGACAAATCATAATAACTGAAAAGATGTTTATCAAAATATTAAGGGATAATATCGTTCATTAGTTAATTAATATATATAAATAAGAAAAGGTACCATGTACATTAAGTAAGTTTATAATTTAACAAGTTTAGGATTTAAGCTAAAATTTGTTATGAACTAAAATATATGAATACACACACTTTCCAAAATAATAACTAGCAACCCTAATCCAATAGCTTCCTTTTGAACTGTACTAATGTTATGTACTAATAAATAATCTGTAAATTAGAGAATATATAGTGTTTTCGATGTAGGTTTGTTCTCTGAGCTGGGTGTTTTGGTCGTGGAGAAATTCAAATACCTCACTTCTATCCGACGTTTGTGCTGATGATGTCGTTCAGAAGGACGATGAAAGCTCCACGACCAAACCATCCAGTTCAGAGAACAAACTTACATCAAAATCATCCACCTGAGCTACAAATCTTCTCCACCATCTCAGAATATTTAGTGTGTTGTACGCTACTTATGAGTACAGATATCAGTAGTATATAGCAGGAATTGGAATTAGAAAGCTAACTAGAAGAAGACTAAAATAAAAAAAGAGGAAGGAAAACAGAGAGCTGTAGGAATAACAACAGAATTGGGAAAATAATGGAATGCAAATGATGTATTTAATGTATGATTTTTATACTCTACAAAGGCAATATGCTCTTTCGTATCAAATAATAAACTAGTTCACCGTACCTGAGTTCTCATTCATTACAATAGCACCTTTGAACAGTATCTTATTCATCCAATTAAATTAAATTATATATATATATATATATATATATATATATATATATATATATGTCAGTAGGTGTAGTGAGTAACATTTTAAAGTCATGCACGGATTATTACGAATTCGTAAATGTCAAATAAGCACAATTGTATGACAATTTATTAAGGACAGACATTTAGATAAACCTGTCTATGAGTGTGCTTTTTTAAACTCAAAATTTGTGTGTAACCATGCCACTTGTTTATGGTATGCTTGTCAAGTGTCTATTTATTCATTACAGATGGATTTATGGATTTTTTTTCTTCTCTGGTTTAAAAAATTGAAATTTAATTCATTCTCAAATTCTGGTTTCTCCTTCAGGTAAAGTCAGATAGTTGGGTCTGTAGGTTCAATAACATGATGAATGATGCTTTCACACATGAAATAAAAATGTTCTTTATACGATTTGAAGTTTTTCTTATCAAATTTCGCCATTATATTCCAGTGAATAGTTTAATATTGAAAAGTTCTCTAATTTTATCAGTCCTTATGTTATACTACTTATTATATTCGTCCATTGAAGTTAGTAATGATTTAAATCAGTTTCAGACAGAAAGATACAGAGAAGTTCGAAGAATTTGTGAATATTTGCTCAAAAATAAAATTGTACATCCCAATAATGGAGTTTTTGAAAGAATTCAGTCACATTGGAACGAAAGCTATATGAATTTATCAAATCATAATACATGTGAAAAATTTAAATTGTTCCAAGTTCATGTCATTCAATCCTCAATAGAAGAGAAACTATTTCCTTTAGCATTTAGTTTATCTGTTCATCAAAATATTAAACAAGTATCACGTCTCCTTCGACTGATATACAGATCACATAACTTGTATTGTATTCATGTAGATTCTAAATCCTCAATTGAATTTTATAATCAAGTGTTAGAGTTGGCCCGATGTTATGGTTTAAATGTGATGGTGTTGAACCGGACAGAAATTGTTAATATTCAGTGGGGATATTATTCCATACTTGAAGCGTTTCTTGTATGTGCAGATAAATTAATAAAAAACACAGACTATAAGTGGAAATATATATTGAATGTGAATGGACAAGAATTACCTTTGAGGACAAACTGGGAGTTGGTTGCGGCATTAAAAGCAATAAACGGATCGAATGTCGTCGAAGGCATAGGTCCAAATTTCAACCCTTCACGTTGGCCTAAAAAGAAGTTCTCATTTCCCGTAAGTTTTATACCTATCACGATCATGATAATGATATGCTCTATTGGAACTTCATATAATAAAAAAATCAGTACAGTTATGAATCATCTGTTACATGTCTAGTTGAGGCAACAATTAAGAAATCTTTATCATGACAAATCAATTTGTCGAATTACAGGAAATTTAAATATGATTAGAATGAACACTATACAGCATTTGTGTGATCAGATATATGGTAACAGAAGTAACATAATGATTCATAAAACAGTCTGAAATAACAAAAAACTAAAATGTTGAATTTACACATATCCCTTTTGTATTTTATAAGTTATTTTTTAGAAACGCATTTGATTGTTTTGCATTCCTGAGTAGCCAAACAAATTTACTGATTAGGTTTTTAGTTTACTTTATTGTGTTAATGTTACAACTCTCGCCGGTAATTCTTATATCTTGTGACCTCCAATTAGAATACAGTGATTTATTGAACGGACCAATAACACACGAAACCCGTACGAGCAGTCTAGAGCACTTGTCGATCCTGCTATCTGCCTAGCTCAGCCAGTTAAGTCAAGAACACCAATAACAGCCTCTGCAATATGGATCATTATTCTCAAACATACTAGGTTTATATACCAATCAAACAGACCACATCGTACCATAAAATAGAAAATACCATTTGTACAAGACTCAGCCCAAAGTGGCTGTGAATGTGGGAGGCAGTAATTAATAGACTGGGGATAACTCATGAATGATAAACCGTATAGTAATAGTTCATAGATCAAAACAAAGCTTATAATAAGAGGGATATGAATATGCATAGTTTAGTTAGTTAGTAATTATACAATAAAAATATACACATAGTATTGGTCCATAAATAGTCCTCAGAAGTTACCATTCATAATTCGCTTCGAAATATAAAAATTAATATTCACTAGTCGAATTTTGTTCACGTAATTGTATCCATATGAGATTTAAAATCTATTTCAGATACCATTATAACTAGAAATTTGTCACTCGAGAGTTCATCGTCACATCATACTGAAAACCATGACTGAATAAAGTATTCATATACATATCAGTGAGAGATCCAGTTTCTCAACACTTCAATTACAAAAATAGTATATTAGTCTACAGACACAAATTCTAAAATGTTCATCACATTGAAATCATTTCATTAACTGAATAGTTCGAACAATAAAATGTCCATTTATTAAATTTCAGTTAAACAATTCTTTAGGAGTCTGACTTAATTCTTGATTAAGTGTTTTAAATTTCAGTAACGTCTAAGATCTGACTAATGCTCTCGTCCTATGTAGAAGTCAACTCTCAAAGGTTTTTGATTTTACGTTAAAATTACCTTAAACTTTATATTGAAATCATGTAGATTTCATCAACAGTCAATATATGTTCCTTAATTTGTAAACAACGGTTTCATTCGTCCACACTAAAGCATTTAATTTAATATATGTATATGGTATTCCCTAAGAATGAACATCAATTAAGGTGACATTGGAAACCAAGGAGAACTAGATAGCTGTTTCTCATAAATATGGAAATCCTCAAGAGTCCAGACTTATGACTTTGCTTTGAAAAGACATTGCGACTCTCTTATCTAATGGCTATCGCATTATCTTGAAACCACTAACTTAGAACCCATAGTTCATATATTTTAACTCCAATCGATCAGTGATATAGCGTTAAAATTATACAATGCCATCAAATATGGCTATGTTGCTCCGAAAACAGCTGAACATAGATCACTAATGCCCATTATAAAAATATAAGCATATAATACTTGGAGAGTTCCGTGATAGAATAAAAAGGTTGTGATTACTAGCTGATCTTTAATGGGATACCAATGGATATTAAAGTACGAAAAATATGACCTAGAAACTAAATTAATAACAACTAGGCTATTATGTAAAATTAATAATTCTTCCGTGAAGTTAGAATGTACATATCTGAAGGGATAAACAGCTTTCGTCCCACGGTTGTTCAATTTAGTCTATAGCACGGGTCTAAACCATGGAGATCAATCTGAAAGAAGACTTACAAATTAATGATGACTTCAAACCTATTATTTAACAGTGAACGTTTTAATAATGCAATCCATAATGTTTTAGTTAGTAATCTATTGAGTATTTGGCGGACATCAATACCATATGATTACCTTTAATCTTTATAATATTGAACTTGATGTATGATTTCTTACTTGATCTCCAGTTAATATAGTCACTATAGTTTGTTTGAGGTTATATTCTCGAATGAGGTGATGTAAAACACTAGAGATAGAAATGAACATGCAACAAAGTTTCTCTTGATTAGGACATACATTTTAGATACTTTAAATATTAATTATATTTATAAAAGAGATGTATTTCAAAGAAATCATTTAAAATGAATCAGTTTTTTTGAAAAGTCAATTAGAATTAATGACTATTGATTGATTACAACAACTCTTGCCTTTAAAAAAAAAGCTAATATAATACTCATAATGTATATAATTTATCATTACTTCAATTCAAACAAAAATGTTATTCCTTTGAGATGATAAGATGTTCCCAATTAAATACATTGTGGTGGCCGGTCCTATGTCGAACCCACATAGCTTATTCTAGCTTCTGGACAAACTTTTTTATCCATTCTTCTCAAGCTACATTTTGAGCTTGTTAATTATTCGCATATCAGCCTTGACTGCTTTTATATAGGCGTAAGTGTGTGCGTTTCTTATTTTACTCTCAGATCCGTGTAATTTATTTCTATCCTACTACAAACGCTTGACTAAAAGGAGCTGGCTCACACGCCTTCTCCACTGCACGTCATTTCGCTTCGTCCCTCTGATTTTCTGTCCAGACCAATGAGCGTACAAAATAAACGTATTCAAAATCCATCCCCGTATTTGTCTTATTTAATTACGATATGCATTGACACGAGTCAAGTCGACAATAATATACGAGGATAAACGACATATATATTTGAATAGCAATCAACACACGATCTAATTGGAGTCAAAATAACGGGCCTCTAAAAGACACAATAAAACATACGTCTGAAACAAATCCCTATCTATTATGATAAAGTAACTTCACTGAGGCAGATTTTCCATTCTAGATAATTCAGCAGCTTTACAGATAGTAAAATTCAATTTCAAGGTGAAAATCGGATTTATCTATCCATAAAATGTATGCACATTATGTTATTCACTGTGATTAAAAACTAAAACTAACATATTTTGACTTATTCACATTATTTTGTGTGCGAATTACTCGAAAGCTATTCAAATACCAGAATTAACAATAAAGTGGAGTTGAAAATTATACTTAATCACCTTTTAGCCTGATATGAATAGTTGAACATTAACACCGTGGGATGCCAGCTCAGTGGTCTAGTGGTTAAGTGTTCGCCCATGAGACTGATAGGTCCTGGGTTCGAATCTCGCGAGGCGAGATCGTGGATGCTCACTGCTGAGGAGTCTCACGGTAGGACGAAACGGCTGTCCAGTGATTCTAGGTTTTCAATGGTGGTCTAGCTTCAACTGACTCATGATCTCAACTATATAAAAAATAGATTGTTATACAGCTTTGTTCGTATATAAATATATATTTGTGTGGAAACATGTATTTTGTCACAATAACATTATCTTTAGAACCATTTTTTCTAGATTATTTGGAACAAGGGAAGCTTTTACATGGCATTAAAGCGAGAGTTTGTTCATTTCTATCAAACTGATCGAAAAGCAAAGGAAATACTCAACGCGATAAAATCGGAAAGACACTTAAAAAAACATCCAGATGAAGTATTTTTTCCTACACTAACTCATAATCCATTACTTGGTGCCCCTGGTGCTTGTAATGAAATTCATGTTACTAATAAATCAGATCCACGGAAAAATTTCGTTGCTCGTTATGTAACATGGTTTCATGAAGGTTGCAAAAGTTCCAGAGTGCGTAATGCTGTTTGCATTATAGGCATAAACGACCTTCCATATATAACATCACGAATCGAATTTTTCGCCAATAAGTTTCATGATGATTTTGAGCCGATTGCATATGATTGTACAGAGTATTATATCATGAATAAAGTTTTAAACGAGATGAAAAGTAAACAATTAGATCCAAGTTTTAATGTAACACCTTACTCTATATTGCATTGTTCACAAAATCATATCTAATTTCAAAAAAAAAAAGAAAAACGGTTATTTAATTACCATAGTCAACTTATGTTCATTTTCATTTGTTAATGTTGATTAATTTTAATATTTCAGATTTTACGTATTTTTTTGAATACACTATTACGGCAGAGAATTCTATGTCTTATAACATAATTATTGTAAATGACAATTTTTACTTGATAAACAATTGTGAAAATACAATTACTATTGTTTGTTTGAATCTTCCCATTGATGTTTAGGACTGCAACTGGTCAGTCTCTAATTGGCATATGTGCATACTGTGCGTATTGCCTTGATATAGCCTTATTTCACAAATATTGTAAGTAAAGATGGATAGTTGCTAGCAGTGGTATCCAGGACGCGCGTTTCTTCCTATTTGGGACTGGTCAGCTGGATGTACTTGCATCTCAGCTTTGATGTTTACTCTGGAACTCGAACCCAATATAGTTCGCTTCAAACGCCATCGCGTTATCCACTCAGCTAATGAGTCCTGAACAGGTTGCTCTGTCTGTAAACGGAAGAAGGGACGGTATATGATTACGTCGATATGGAGATAGATTACTTGTGTTCTTAAACTTTTATAAGGACATAAATAGGTTTTTACAAGACCCCACACTGTTCTTGGTTAAGGTTATGTCTTTAGGGTTAGGTTTTGATTAATGAACACTTTGTTTTGGTTAACAAACGAACCGACGTTAACTATAATTTAAAGATGCTTTTTAGACATGTAGATAGTTGAATCTGTAGAAATAATTTAATAGAAGTTGTTTTAAATCTGAATGGTTCGTCTGAAAATGATAACGTTACCGTGGTAAGGTTTGTTTCCGGATTAAAGATAAGGATTTAGGAATAATGTTGATTTTCTTGTTATGTAAAATCTACACAAAGAGAATCGAGCATTTGATATGTTAAACACTATCATTTTTACTTCATTATGATAGAAAGCAATTCTTTCGTTCTGAGTACCATACAGAAGTACTTTCACTACTAGTTTTATGTAGGTTTTAAATTTTACACAAACACCTGAGAATTGTTTCTCTATTATGTCTTGCTCGTCCTTATGCTATAATTGTAACACAGAATTCCTATCACAAATAGCCAATATATTGAGAGTATACTTCAAGACCTTTTATTCATATTGTACATATAATTCGTAAGACATTAAAACAAGTTTTCAGTTAGCGGATATAAAGAATGGTATTATATAATTCTATAAGTTTTCGACTGTCGTAGTGAAGCTATTGGAAGAATGATATGAATCAAATCACTACTTTTATGCGCATTTAAGATGGATGAAAAGTGTTATTCGAATCATACGAACATATGTCGTTGAGCAAAGAAATCTCTTTCCAACACTTTTGTTTTCACAGAGGAAGCCTAAATGGAACAGTCATTTGATAGGCTTCTGTAATTAAGCTTTCATCAGTAGAAATTAGAATTTGATTGTATTTCTCCCCCTTTAAATTTGAAGAATCTACACTCTGGATATAATTCTACTCAAAAAATTACCAATTGAAATGTACTTGTACTGAGATTTTTCATCAAAATATAACGCGGAAACCTCCAAGAGAGTCTAGATCATTCGTACGAAACAAAAACCTATATCAATAATAAATTCAAAGGTGATACATCCTCATTTATCTTTAAGAAAAGGGGTCCAAATACCCATAAGAGAACATTATTAGCAACCACTCTGAGGATGATATTACTCCAGTTGATGAATTCTATCATTTAATAAATTATTAACTTTAATTCATTCATCTAAATTACTGATTATATCTGTAGTACCGGAATCATAGTATTGAACATTGATGTAACTATTATTTCAACTCAAAAGAATGAATTTCTCTTATTTTTATAGAGAATCAATTAATAAAGTAATTAAAACAGAACTTATTTTATTGTATATTTGTATTTAATTGAACCATTGATTCAATATATATTGAGACTCCTCTTGATAGTTGAGTACAAAGAGTAACGTCACCAACCAAATTTGGTATTAAACTCACTTGGTGGTATTTGCTAGTATCTTCCCATTGTTATTTAGGACTGTAGTTGATCAGTCTCTTGTTGGTATATGGGCATCTTGTACGTATTGCTTTGATATTGCCTTAATTCACAAGCTTTATAAGCAAAGATAGATAGTGGCTAGCAATGGAATTCAGGACGTGCGTTTCGTTTAATTTGAGACTCGTCAGCTGGATGTATTTGCATCTCGGCGTTGATGTTCACTCTGGGACTCGAACGCAGTAAAGTTCGTCTCGAACACCATCGCGTTATTCACTGAGCTACTGAGTCCTGATAGTTACTTATCTTTTAAAACAATTAGTCCTTTTGATATTATCATTTTCAGCTTATGATAAGTAGTCTAATCCATTGTATAAACCTTAAATGAAATATGAAGTGAAGAAAGAATACTTAATTTTTTTAATAAAACTAAATTTAAGCCAAATATTGTTCTCTTTTTTAAAAATTCATGAGAATATTTCACAATATAGTTTATTGCCAAAACATCTTATATATATAATTAATGTTATAAGAGATAGCCAGTGTGTGTAGATTATCTGTTAACCATAGTATTATCTATATACATTATAAGTGATAATATTACATGTTCTAAATAAATGACATTTTAAAAGATTTACACATTCAAGTTCTTTTCAACTCAATAGTTGGAATATCTTTAAAAAGCTGAAAATAATATTGATCCTCGTAGTTTTTCGGTGAAAAAAATTACAAAGAGTAATTATTTCATACATAATGTGATGGTTTTGTAGTTAAAGAATTTAACTTTCTAATAGTGGGTCACAGCTTGGAATAGATCCTCTCTATCCACTTCTATTTAGGCAACCGGTTAATATCATTGAATCTCATAAAAAGTTTTGATTCCAACCCGAGTATCTTGAATGTGTGCCTGATAAGTGAGTGGTTTTCTCTAATCATTTTATAAATACTTCATATAATGAAACTTCATGGAATAACTAGAGAAAGTGAACTATAAGATTGAAGTGATAAGTATTTTATTTTACTGGATAAAATATAATGCCCACTATTTCAAATGCACAGATCAACTAAATAGATTTAAGCAAGTCATTATAACTTTATGAAACATAAAATATTGAAGTTATCAGGATAGAAAATCTAGAAAATAAACTGAGCTACTTTCTTTTTAAACTTATATATAATCTTAATGAGTGGTAGGGATAGTATATCTCCTCGCAGCTGACATTTGAATTTCGAAGGAATTAAGAATTCAATGGTTGTCTTCAAGGAGTAGGCTGACATATCCTTAAAAAACACTTCAGAATAGTATTCTGGACATCAGCTAAATTCTAATACGAATTAAAATAATACAACGATAATAAATGAGAATGAACATTGTATGGTTGTCTTGAAATATTTATATCTAGTTGGTTCCATCCGAAATATCAATCAATAATCAACATTTTACCATTGTATTACTTTTTCAAACAGGCACTAACATGAATTCCACTTTATTTTGTAAACTTTCAATTACACAAATAGCTCATTTATTTTATTATGATCATGTATGCCATCTAATAATAATAAAAATAATAATAATAGTAATAATTTATCGTTCGACGAATAACACTTTATTGAAAATCAATTTTGTTAATGATAAGTCTTCTAATTGAACACTAATTGTTGTATCTGGTCGCCTCTGATTTTTATGTCAGAATCGCTTATTACTTATACTTTTAAAACGACGAACCATTGCAATTCTCACGATGTGAAATTAGGAACACTGATATTAATATAAGTGAAAATTTATGAACCCTTAAAACATTATGATAACTCTAGTAGAAAACACATTCATTACTATATTGATTCATACACCCATTTTAATTAATAATAAGAATGAAATCACCCAGAATTATAATAAACCACATACTGCATATAATGCTGCGTATAGTTCATATTAATTTAATACAAGAGTATTATATGTTATTACCGAATAAAATATCATACGAGAAAACAAAATCGAATTCTACACTAAGTGACTATTATATTGAATTAAAAATGGCAGTAATATTAAACAAAAATTAAAATGAATAAAACAATGTTATTTCTACTTTTCTTCACGTGATTATCAGTTAATTAAGGAAAAAAAACGTTTTACAGAATAAGCAAATTTATATTAACATTAAACTTTCTATATAATGTAATGACACAATTACAATGTTAACGCAATATTATTTCATTATTTAATAATAAGTATAAAGTAATAGGTGAATTTTATTTGATTCACTTGGTGTTGTCTACTTGTAAGCGAACGGTGCTTGGTTCGAGTCCTAGAGTGAACATCAACTCTGAGATTCAGGTACATCTAGCTGAAGAGTCCCAAATAGGACGAAACGCACGTCTTGGATTTCACTGCTAGCTACTATCCATCTTTGCTTATAAAGATTTTTATTAGCTTTCAAAATTCTGACAATTTTATCTTCTCTTGATGTTGTCAGGTTGAGGTTCTAGCACCATGTACTTTGTCAAAGTTTCAGTGATTTATGAGAAACCAATCTCTAGACTTAAACGGTTTTTTTCAGAAACTAAATGTAAAAATTGTATATGATCGATTATATTTCCCTTGAAGATTCCTGAATGAAACGTTAGCATTGTCGAAGTTTTAAGCTTTCAGATTATTCAAATAGTGTTCACATTTAATATCATCTATGTATTCGGTACCCGATTTCTTTTAGACTGTTCGCGTAAACTTTGACGAATGTTCGTATAAAGGTTTTATTTAGATCATCAGAATTTCCGGCAATGTCTTCTGAGATGATCTGTTAACCATTAAAGAAACAAAAAGTGTTCATATTTCAAATCATACTTCAGAATACTAACACTTAACCTACAGTAAAGTAATGATAATACGTTAAAATGTTTCAATATTTTGTTGTAAGAAATGCCAAGACACCATAATGTAAATTCTACAATTTGTATAAGCCTCCTGAATTAATTAATAGATATGTTTACAAATTTTACTTTAGAAGAGATTTTTAGATATTTTTACCATGGTATGACTTGATAACTTCCAATAAATTGAGCATTGGGTAGATTGTTTTCAATAAAAATATTATATTTGTAATATTGAAAAAAAATTGTTTATTATATATTTTCATAGTTGAATTCATGAGTCAATTGAAGCTAGACCACCATGGAAAACTTAGAAGCACTAGACGACCGTTTCGTCCTATTATT